AATGGCTGAAGGAATGCCTGTAGCAAAGGCTGGCAGAATCACCATCAACACAAAGACCTAGTTCACACTACTGGAATGCCCTTTTCTACTGATGACCAGGGCATGGTTATTAATGGTCCAATTGTAAAGCCTTGGAGACTTAACACCACCTGTGATGAAACCCAGTCCAGATTATTGCTGAAGCGTTGCAAGCTGGGGAGTATCAGTGGGTAAAGCCCTGCTCCCACGACTAAAGCAAAAGGGTTTCCAGAAATTTGTCCAGGCTGGGGCATACGATCAACCTCAATCCCAGGCAATCCACAGGAGGTTGCCCGGGCAGGGGATCAGCTAGACAGCACTACCCTTCTCCTGGCCACGTGCTCATCAAAGCCTGATACAAGCCAGGCATGGTGGCTCAGGCCTGTAATCCCAGCACTTTGGGGAGGCTGAGGCAGGTGGATCACAAGGTCAGGAGATCAAGACTTGGCTAACACGGTGAAACCCCGACTCTACTAAAAATACAATTAGCCAGACATGGTGGCACGCGCCTGTAGTCCCAGCTACTCAGGAGGCTGAGGCAGGAGAATCGCTTGAATCCAGGAGGCGGAGGTTGCAGTGAGCCAAGATTGCGCCACTGCACTCCAGCCTGGGTGACAGAGCGAGACTCCATCTCTAAATAAATAAATAAACAAACAAACAAACAAACAACTAAATAAAAACCTGATGCAGGCTGGGAAGTGCAGGCAGCTGAATTCATCTCCCAATTCTTGTGGAACCAGAGGGTTGTCTAGGCTGAGGAATGGCTGTTTGCAGAACCCCACCCTACTCCATGTCTGCTGGAACTTTTCCAAAAGGCTACTTAAGCTGGGCACTGGCCAAAGGCGAAGCCCCCTCCTTCATCCTGTTAAGCATTCCTGAGAGGAATGTCCAAGCTGAGAGACTAGTGTCAAGGAAATGACCCTCCATCCCCACTCTCCTGTACTGGAAAGGGCCAACTTGCAGGTTAGTGCTAAGGACCATCTTTTGTTTTTTTTTTTTTGAGACAGGGTCTTGCTCTTCTGTCACCCAGGCTGGAGTGCAGTGGCGCAATCATGGCTCACTGCAGCCTTGACCTCCCAGGTTCAAGTAATCCTCCTGCTTCAGCCTCCCTAGCAGCTGGGACTACAGGCATGCACCACCAAGGCCAGCTAAGATTTTTTTTTTTTTTTTTAAGATGGAGTCTTACTCCGTCACCAGGCTGGAGTCCAGTGACACGGTCTTGGCTCACTACAACCTCTGCCTCCTGGGTTCAAGCAATTCTCCTGCCTCAGCCTCCCGAGTAGCTGGAACTACAGGCGTGTGCCACCACACTCAGCTAATTTTTGTATTTTCAGTAGAGATGGGGTTTCACCATGTTGGCCAGGATGGTCTTGATCTCTTGACCTCATGACCCACCCGCCTCGGCCTCCCAAAGTGCTGGGATTACAGGCATGAGCCACCGCACCCGGCATTTGTTTGTTTTTTAATAGAGACAGGGTCTTGCTATGTTGCCCAGGCTGGTCTTGAACTCCTGAGCTCAAGCAGTCCTCTCACCTTGGCCTCCCAAAGTGTTGGGATCATAGGGGTGAGCCACCGCACCCAGCCAAGACCATCTTTTTACATTTCTCCAGAAGACTACTACATAAAAAAAATTCATACTGTTATGGGATTCACAACATAATAGTAAAATACATGACAATACCACAAAAGACCAACCGGGGGGAAACCGAGTTATACTGTGGTACACCGCAGTATATATGGTAGCATTCTGACATTGTATATGAAGTATTGTAGAATTAATTAATGGCAGACTGTAATTTTTTTGCCTGCGACCCCCCCAGAGTGTAATATTTTAAAGATGCATATTGTAATTCCAAGAACCACCAACACATACACACAAGGGCATACAGTCATAAATAAATAGGGTAAAATGAAATACTAAGAAATTAAACATGGCTAAATGACTTGCTTTGGCCAGTGCAATTTGAGTATTCGTGGTGGATATGTTCTGGGTGGCACATTTGGGAGCCAGGACTTAACCCTTGATGTTCTCTTCCCTTGCTTTGCATTGAGATGGAAGGATCATAAGATGGTATGGAGTAATTAATAATCCACAGCAATGCATCACCCGCTTCCCGCACTCCACCATACTGGTATTTACTGAACATGCAGCATAAGAAATATACCTGGTGTTAAGCCACCGAGATTTTGGCGTTTGACAGATATATCTGGATTTCCTGGAATAAAACCCAGTTGGTCACGATGTTTTTTGTTTGTTTGTTTTTGAGACGGAGTCTGGCTCTGTCGCCAGGCTGGAGTACAGGGGTGCAATCTCAGCTCACTACAACCTCCACCTCCTGGGTTCAAGTGATTCTCCTGCCTCAGCCTCCCGAGTAACTGGGACTACAGGCGCATCACCACGCCCAGCTAATTTTTGTATTTTTAGTAGAGACGAGGTTTCACCATGCTGGCCAGGATGGTCTCGATCTCTTGACCTCGTGACTCGGACGCCTCGGCCTCCCAAAGTGCTGGGATTACAGGCATGAGCCACTGCACTCAGCCATGATGTTATTTATTTATTTATTTATTTATTTATTTATTTATTTTTGAGACGGAGTCTCGCTCTGTCGCCCAGGCTGGAGTGCAGTGGCCAGATCTCAGCTCACTGCAAGCTCCGCCTCCCAGGTTCACGCCATTCTCCTGCCTCAGCCTCCCAAGTAGCTGGGACTACAGGCGCCCGCCACCTCGCCGGGCTAGTTTTTTGTATTTTTAGTAGAGACGGGGTTTCACCGTGTTAGCCAGGATGGTCTCGATCTCCTGACCTCGTGATCCACCCGTCTCGGCCTCCCAAAGTGCTGGGATTACAGGCTTGAGCCACCGTGCCCGGCCTAATGTTATTTCTTAATGTGTTGGTGGATTTCAATTGCAAATAATTTGTTTTCTCCATTGATATCTTTAAGCAAGATTGTTTTGTGTGTGTGTGTACAACCTACTGGATTTTGATAGCAACATTATACTCAATACATAAATATAATTTAGGTGATTTTTTTTTTCCTATGCTCTGGTAAAGTTTAAGGAACACTGTAAGTATCTAGTCTTTAATAGCTATTAAACTCAACTGGTCCTGGAGTTTTTTGGAGGGAGGGAGGCAGCTCTGTGGCAATTTTCTTGAGTTTGTCTATGGGGAAAAAAAAGTCTGTTTGGACTTTATATACTTCTGTTAAGGTCAGTTTTGGTGAATTATTTTCCTAGAAAATTCACTTTTTAAATATATATATTAAAGGCTTGAATGCAGAAAATTGACAATTGCATCTAGATTTTCTCATGTATTTACAGAGTGTGTACAAAACAGATGCTTGAGACAGGGTCTCACTTTGTTGGCCAGGCTGGAGTGCAGTGACACAATCATGGCTCACTGCAGCAATCCTCCCACCTCAGCCTCCCGAGCAGCTGGAACCACAGACATGCAATGTCACACCCAGCTGATTTTTAAATTTTTTTGTACAGGTGGAGTCTCCCTATGTTGCCCAGGCTGGTCTCAAACTCCCAGGCTCAAATGATCTTCCTGCCTCGGCCTCCCAAAGCGCTAGGATTACAGGTGTGCGTCACTAAACCCAACCTATTTTTTCTTTTGATGACTATTACCTTATTTATCACAAGCATTTGTGCTTTCTACATTAATTAGGCCTTCTAGTAGTTTAAAAATTTTGCCATCCTTCTTCAAATTTATCATTTTTATTTTCTAATTATTCAACTTATTTAACTTCCAGTATTAGTGCTGTTAAAAAGTCTGACACCATCTAATTTTCCTATCTTATGTAAGCCATTTGTCTCTTTGCATGGAGGCTGAGAAGACTTTTTTTTTTTTTTTTTGGGCGGGGGTTACAGTCTTGCCTTGCTCTGTTGTCCACGCTGGAGTGCAGTGGTGCAGTCTTGGCTCACTGCAACCTTGGCCTCTTGGGTTAAAGCGATTCTCATGCCTCAGCCTCCCAGGTAGCTAGGATTACAAGTGTGCCCCACCAAGCCCGGCTAAGTTTTGTATTTTTAGCAGAGATGGGGTTTCGCCATGTTAGCCAGGCTGGTCTCGAACTCCCAGCCTCAAGTGATCCGCCCACCTCGGCCTCCCAAAGTGCTGGGATTACAGGCATAAGCCACCACCCCTGGCCCGAGAGGACTTCTTTTATCTTTAAAGTCTAATCGTTTCACTAGGATCTGACACTTCTGAGTCAATTTTCCCAAGCACAGAGTGTCCTTACAGTATTTATATTCAGGGTGGTTTGTTTTGTGGGGGGAAACAATTTTATTACCAATTTAAACATTAATTCTGTTCCATTGTTTTTTCTTCAATAAATTTAATGTAGTTGATAAAACCTAAATATAAGACCTGAAACTGTAACACTCCTAGAAGAAAACTTAGGGAAAAAGCGTCACGACATTGAATTTGGCAATGATTTCTTGGATATGACACCAAAAGCAGACAATGAAACAAAAAGCAGGCAAATGAGACCATATTAAACTTAACTTCTGCATAGTAAACAGTAAGAGTGAAAAGGTAACCTACAGAATGGGAGAAAATATTTGCAAACCATGTATCTAATAAGAGGTTAACATCCAGAGTATATAAAGAACTCCTACACTCAACAAAAAATGAAATAACCCAATTAAGAAAGGGGCTAATGACATGAATAGAGACTTCTCTAAAGAAGACACGCAAATGGCCAACAAGCAAACAGAGAGATGCTCCACATCACTAATCATCACGGAAATGCAAATCAAAACCAAAATGAAGCATCACCTCACCTCAGTTAGAATGGTTATCAAAAAGATGAAAGATAGTAAATGTGGAAACTATAAAAAACAAAAACAAACAAACAAACAAAATAATGAGTTGGTGAGGATGGGGAGGAACTGGAACTCTCGTGCCCTGATGGTGGGAATGAAAATGGTGCAGCTGCTATGGAAAACAGTACGAGTGTTCCACAAAAAATTAAAAATAGAACTACCATACGATCCAGCAGTCCCACTTCTAGGTATATATCCAACGGGATTGAAATCAGGATCCTGAAGAGATATCTGCACTCCCATGTTCACTGCAGCATTATCTGCAATAGCCAAGAAATGGAAGCAGCCTAAATGTCCATCAAAGGTAAAGAAAGAAAATGTAGTATTATCCCTATGATGAAATATTATTCAGCTTTAAAAGGGAAGGAAATTCTGACACATGCCACAACATGGAAGAAGCCTGAGGACATTATGCTAAGTGAAATAGGCCAGTTACAAAAAAACAAATACTGTATGGCTTCCCTTATGTGAGGTATCTAAAGAAAAACTCTTACAAAGTAGAATGGTGGTTGCCAAGGGTTGGGGAGGGACAGAGGCGGAGGGAGGGAGTTGTTTGATGGGTATTGAGTGTGGTTTGACAAGATGAAAAAGTTCTGGAGATCTTTTGACCAACAATGTGCACTGAGTTAACACTCCTGTTCTGGACGCTTAAAAATGGTTAAGATGGGCCAGGCGCGGTGGCTCATGCCTGTAATTCCAGCACTTTGGGAAGCCGATCACGAGGTCAGGAGATCTAGACCATTCTGGCTAACACAGTGAAACCTCATCTCTACTAAAAATACAAAAAATTAGTCGGACTTGGAGGCACAGACCTGTAGTCCCAGCTACTTGGGAGGCTGAGGCAGGAGAACTGCTTGAACCTGGGAGGTGGAGGCTATAGTGAGCCAAGATTGCGCCACTGCACTCTAGCCTGGGCGAAGAGTGTCTCTGTCTCAAAACAAAAACAAAACAAAAAAAATGGTTAAGATGGTAAAGTTTATGTCACGTTGTTTTTACCACCAGCACCACAAAACCTCAATATAGTCAAATTTTCAGCTACAGTTTAATTTCCTTTGCCTCTTTTCCGTATCTATTACTATCTTATTTCGTTTCTTTTCAATGGAGTATCTTCCCCCTGTGCATCTTCTGTTTAGGTTTGTGATAACCTTTCCTTTTTCCTTTGTCTAGGGTCAGCTGTGGTCTTCCATTCTCTCCATCACCACAGCTCCTTCCCTCCCAGTCTGCAGTTTCTAAGCCCTCCAGAGCTGGAGATCCAGGTGATATGACCCTTGGTAAACCGTATGAGCAAACAGGTTCTGTGGTGGCCTCATCAGAGGGGTGGGCTAGAGGCTCCATGAGATTTAAAGGTACAAATTCGGTGACAATGATACTAGCTCAGGGGCCTTCTGGGATCAATAATTGGTTGTCTTTGAGTTAAAATTCTCACCAGGCAATCTCTGTAAAAGGGAGGGGTTATCTGTCCACTGAAGACAGAGCTGGGAAGGTACAGGGAATGGGAGGTTATGGCAAAACTGAATAGGACACAGGATAAACCTCCTCCAGTCTCTTTCTTTCTTCCGAAAAGTCTGAAAAAGTTAAGGTGCCAAAAACGCAGAGGGACAGAAATAAAACATTTGTAGGCCTTGTATGGTGGAAGTTTCCAGCAGAGAAAGTATGAACAAAGCTGGCCACTGGCTCTGGCACCAAGCAGGTCCCTGGCTTGCAGAGTGACCTCACATGTTGGTAACTTTCTGGGCCTTTTCTCCTTATCTGTAAGGGGAAAAAATAGGAGGAGGGAAATATTTCTGGTTCCTGAGGCAACTGCTTTTATTGCACAAACATTACCTTTTATGAAAAATGTATCTTTTTAGAGACAAGGTCTTCCTATGTTGCCCAGGCTGGAGTGCAGTGGCTATTCACAGGTGCGATCACAGCACACGATAGCCTCCAACTCCTGAGCTCAAGCGATCCTCCTGCCTTAGCCTCCCACATAGCTGGGCCTTAACAGGCATGTGCCACTGTGCCTGGCAATAAACATTACCTTTTCATATGCATGAAAGACCTCCCCTCGCTGGGCATTCATGCAATTTCTGAATACATCCAGAAGAATAAAGTATCTACACGGACAAGATAAATTTTAAATAATTTTTTTAAAACAAAAAAGACTAAAACGTGGTAAGAAATCAGTCTTGTGCATTTTGTACATTTGTGTCCTCCACTCTGTCTTCATTTACTGCTACAGGAAGCTGACTGCACAGCCAGTCACTGTTGAACAAAGACATCAGAAGGCCAGTTAGTCTCTTCACCACAGAAGCCCCCAAGTGAACCTAATTCTGAAGGACAGGTCTCAGTGTCCCTTAACTTTGTTCTCCCCAGGAGAAATCCATTTTGCTGCCAAATGTGACCAGCAGACTTGGGTGGATACATCTAGCACAATCACGGTCTTGTCATGCTGCCAACATGGCCCAAGGCATGGTGTGCAGGGCAGCCTCTCTGAAGGGCCTCTGCTACGCCTGCTCGCCAGCACCACCTCCGCCAGCAGCAGAACCCTTGCTGGATGCCTGGGCATCTGAGGAGCGGGAGGCCTGCTTCGGCAGGCGGATGGGGACATAGATGTTGGAAGCACGGTGCTCCTTGAGGTACTCTCCTCCCTTTTCTTCATATTCTTTCCTGGTGATCCAAACTTCATTATCATCTAGGTGGTCCAAGGCCCAGTCACGAGCACCGTACCAGGCGTCCAGCACAGGGTTTGAGGCAAGTTGAACCTGAAACACAAAGAAGATTCACCAGGACACCTCCACCAGGGCTCCAGGCGTGAATGTTCACCTGGCTCAGCTACAGCCCCCGATATTTTATCCCCAGAAATATACACATAGGTGGGCCCAGTGCACTCCAAGACAGTTCGGGGCTAGCTCCACACCCTGTAAACAAAGCTGAGCTGGAATGCCCAGATTCTTCAGAACACATGGCTGTCAGACATTTTACTAACACAAGACCTGACACTCGGGGTCAGAGAGGGGCCAGTGGCTCAGCCTCCTGCTGTGCGATGCTGTCAACCACAAGCTGTCAGGGAGAGGTGAAGCGGAGGCTGGCCTATGACCTGGGGAAAAGGCCTTCCTGGCCCTGCTCCCCACTCTGAGCAGAGGGAAACAGGGGCCGCTGCAAGGCAGCTCTAGCCAGGGTAGCAAAAGAGCCTCAGGAGAAATGGCAGCAGAGAGGGGTGACCTGGGCGTTCCCTGTGAGGCTGCTGGCACTTAGTTTCCCCTTCTCATCGGAGTTGGGCTGGAGTTCAGCAGCTCTGAGAAGGCCCTCGGCTAGGCTGACCTGATCATTACGGCAACGCTGCAGCTCCCATCAGGCCTCCTGTGTCCTGGAGTTACCCGCCTCACTTCCTACCTCCCTCTCACCTCCCCACTCCACCAATCCCATGAGTTCTAGGTTGGAATGGTGGTTTCAGAACTTTCGGGAGTGAAGGGCAGAGGCCGTAATGGTGGAATCAGCATGCGCAAATGGAGGTGGGAAAGTGCAGGCTCGGGAGTCCAGCTGCTGGGCTTGCCACGTGGGCAAGGGGCCTGTGAACCAGGACCTCGCCACTAGGATAACCAGAGGCCCCACCCCCTGGCTTCAGGGGACTTAAGTGCATGAGTGTAAGGCACGTGGTAGATGCTGCCTGCTACAGAGTATTCAATAAAGCGTAGCTCTCATCATTACTAATAAAAAATGCAGCAAGATATATGATTAATAGACTATATAGCCATATAAAAAGGATGCTCTGGAAATGTACCTATTCATATAAAAACAGTGTCACAATAATTCGAAAGTGAAAAAATTACAGGTTACAAAATAAGCTGTCAACAATCTCTTTTTGGTGAAAACCATACATGAGATGAAAACGACCGGAGAGTACACAAACAACATTGCTCGCAGAGACTGAAACTACAGTTTTCTTGGTTTTCATTTTGGTTTAAATTGTCTGATATTTTTGTAATATTTAAAAATGTTTTGCTGTTTAAGAAAAAACAGGAACTTAAAGTTGTAAATTTGCACATCTTGGGGTTCTCTTCCTTATAATGATCATGGAGGGCCTTAGGTGGCCGGTGAGTTTGAGCCACTGCTGAATATATAATCTAAAATTGGAACATCAGGGCTTAGTGACGGTGTGACACACTCATGACATTACAATGTGAAAGGGGGCAGAAACAGGAGTTGGGGGGAGCTGAGGCAAGGTCAGGTGAGACCAAAACAGCAAAAGCAGGGCTGGGAAAAGATCTGGCTGGTAGCAGCATTCCTACAACCAATGCTCACAAAGTGATTCATGGGAGACTTTGGAAATTATCAAGAAACACATCTTGAAAATCCTCTACGATTTTTTTCTCTACTACTTCATCCTAAGTCGCTACTGCCAGCGTGACTCGGCCCCATGCTCACGCCCCTTCCTGTCACCCCTTGGCTTCAGCACTGCTGCTCTCTCCTGCTCCCCCCTCCTCTTCCTCCACCTCCTTCTTAGACTCACGGGTGTCCTACAGCCCTTAAAACATCACCTACCCTCCCAAAGAGTGCCCAGAACACATCTATGCTTATGGCAGGTGGAAGGGTGTAAAACTACCCTCTCGCCTTCCCCCTTCCCCACCGAGCGCTCATCCAGCTAGCTGTGGCCACCTCTCCGTGTGTCCATTGGAAACTCAACCCACCCTGGAAATGGAACACACTATCCTCTCCCTTAAGTCTGTCCTTCCTCCCACAGCTCCTCGTCCAGTGAATCTCTTATTCAGCAAACTAGTTGCTCCACCTAGAACTTAGGAATTACCTTAGGTCTCACTTCCCTCCCCAGATCCAACTTACTAACAAGTTCTGACAATTTGACTGCCTTAGCCTCTTTCACATCAACTCCCTCTCTTCCTCTCCCTCTGCCACTGCTTTCCTATTTCCTGCAGAGCTACCAAGTGACACTGTGCCAAGGGCTTGGGACACATTTCACAAGACAGTGGTTGTCTCTTCCCTAACAGAGGTGGATCTCGTAAGGAACATAGGAAAGGACAGGGAAGGCTTCCTGGAGGAAGTGATTTCCAGGAAACCAGCCACTGAGAGAGCTGGATGAGCTAGAAAGAGTACTCTATGCAAAGGGAGCCAGCATGTGCAAAGGCCCTAAGGCAGGAAAACTCTGGAAAACTAATAGCAGTGAGCTGTGGCTGAAGTGCAGGGTGGAAGGGGGAATGATGAGAGAACCCTGGACAGTTCTTCAAGGTCAGAACACAAGGGACCCTGTAAAGCCTGACGAGTGGAGTGAGGGCTTCCTCCTAGAGGCTGGGAAGCTGCCTCCTAACTGGTCTGCTTCTAACATTTCTCTTAATACCCTATTTTGCACATCAATGTCAAATATATCTTACTAAATGTAAATCAGATCACATTCCCTGCTTAGGCTCCTTCATGGTTCATCACTATGGCTAAAGATAACAGCTGTACAGAAAAGAGTTAACAGAACGGCCCTACTGTTACCTTAGAAAGGCTACTTCCAAGGGTGGGGCCTTGGCAGGCATCTGGGAACTTGGATTTTGGGAGGTCCCCACCACCACCTGGTAAGAGTGGCTCAATAAGCCCATTCATACAAATAATGTGGTTTATGCCAAACACGTGTTTCCCTTCTGTGAGCCTGGAATTTGGGTATGCTCCAAGCAGGGGGCGCCTATGTGATCGGTCCCCAAATAAAACCCCAGGCACTGCATCTCCTACCAACTTCCCTGGTTGGTGACACTTAATGCGCTCTTACAAGGCTCTGCTGGGGAAATTATGTCCTGTGTGACTCCACAGGGAAAGGCCTCAGACACTTACACCTGGTTGCTCCCGGGTTTCACCCCAGGCACCTTGTCTCTCTGCT